TTACATTTTGATTTTCTCTTAAATTCGCATAACCCATGATTTTCAAAAACAAATTGCTGATTATCAAAGTACTTAAATGCTAGGCGTCCAAACTGATAAAAGGTCGAGTTGGGTCGACTTTTCATTTTTAGGCACGTTTTATTTCGCTTTATGGATCTTTCCAACATATCGAGCTGTAAAACGAGGAATTTCTATACTGTTTTTGACAAGGAGGATGGTCCATGGACACTGACCCTCGCCTAAAGTAAGTTTCCATTCCTATGTCGTATCCTCTCTGGCTTAAGTGTTTTATAAAATGAGATCTCTCTCTGTGAAAGGAACCATATTCTGCATGGTGTTTTATAAAACGTGATCTTTCTATGAAAGGAAACATATTCTGGCATGGTATTTTACAAAATGGTATCTTTCTATGCATGAGAGGAAATAAATTCATATATAAAAAGCAAGAGAGATTTACAGTAGGGGTCCAGATCTCATTAGTTTGGCAATCAATCAAATGCCATGCCTATCTTTTGGTGGAAATACTGAATGAGGTTGATGTATAATTGTTTGCCATGAGAAAATCAAATGCTCTGAAATATATGCAACCTTCACATCAAATTATGAATCCCAACCTTTCCCGTACAAATGAAATATTTATTAATTACCATACTTTTATAGTATAGTATGGTATATATAAAAATAAGGATGTGTATGTATTAAGAAAATTAGAATCAGACGCCTCATTTTAGACTTTTCTAGATTAAACATTTGTTACTCGTCAACTTTAGATTAAAGTGCTTTCACTTATGATTAAACTCTATATTCCGGGTTTATTCTTAATTTAGGTGTTTTTCAATGCATTTTAATTCATTTTTACGTAAAAAAATGTACTCAATAATATCAAATAATTTATTGTTATTTTTATGGAATCTAATTCCTTCCCCAATTTAAGGATTCAATTATATCTAGTGACCCGAGATTAGCTTAATGGAATACAATAATCAATATATATCTAAGTTCTCTAAGAAATTTCAATATAACTAAATTATTTGTAACTTTGTTTTGTACAAAAATTGTTTAAAACTTTTTTCATCATTACTGTAACTATTGTCGTTAACAGCTATATCTCATTCTTTATTTTCGTCTCTAGAAATTCAAGTATGATTGAATTGACATGTAGTTTTTAAAAAATAAACATTGACATTTACCAACACAATTTATTCTCAAATTGAAACGTACTTATGCTAAATTAAAACCTATTCATGCCTAATTAAAAAGTATGATTACTAAATTGAAATGTACCCATATTGGCTTGAAACGTACCAATAGGTTTTAGGGTTGCACATTGGTATGTTTAAAATATCACTGTATGGGTTTTTTTTTTTTTTTTGTATAGGATTAAGTACTTGAAAACCCGTAATCTTTTTGTGTCATTTCAAATTGGTCTCAACCTTTTTAAACATTCCAAACAAACATCCAAACTATTAAAAATGTCACATCCGTTGAACTCTAGTTAATTTTTTCAAACATAGATCATGTTCAAAATCCACCAATTAGGTATATCATGGACAACATTAATATTAGTTGCCTCAAAATTTGAATTTTAAACATAGATTATGTACTATGGACCCCAATGAATAAATGAGTATTGAATTGAATCGAAAATGGAGCCAAATTGAAATTATATTAGGAGGGTAATCTCCTAACAAAGAAAAGGGTTAAGAATTCAGACAAAGTTTCAAGGAGCTTGGTTATGCTCATGTGATGTCCACATATGCTAATTCTCGGCTTGTAAAACTTCTAATTCTTCTTTATAGACGGTGAAGATGGTGGTGGGTGCCGCACCATGACAGTCCATACCTTTTCAGCGACCTCCATGACCTTCTTCTCGATGTTGGCGAATAGAGTTGTGGGGTGGAGTTGTGGTTTTGTGTTGGGTTGAATGTGATGGCATGATGGAGCTGGTGGTGACCATTCGTTGGTGGATGCTATGCTTCCATGACCTTCTATTAATTTTGGAGACAAAGTAAACCCTATTTAATTCAACAGATTTTTAACTAGGGCTTAACAATTGTGACATTTTCAATATGTTGAGTACTTGTTTGGAATGTTTAAAAAGGTTGAGACCAAATTAAAATGACACTAAAAAGTTATGGAGTTTTTATGTGCTTAATCCTTAAAAAAACCATTGTCCTTTTTGCACCCACAATTCAACTTTTTTTTGTTATTATGTTATTATAGAATTTTTTTTCTTTTCTTTTGAGATATATTGAATTAATGGCACATACATTAACAATATCTTCTTTTGCAAGATTTTAAGAATTTGTTATATATTGGACTTAATTATTAAACTAATTATAATAATAATTTGTGTAATTTGAAATCAATTAGTAAATTAATTAAAGTTGTAAAAATGTAGTTTGATTAGATCTCTAAAGTCTTAGATGTTTGGTCTAAAAAATTAAAGAACCAAATACCTAGATCAAAATGCCTCTTAAATTTTTACCTTGAAAAACAAGTATATATTGGTGACATTTCTTATGTTAGTCATTTCTCTTAGCATTGTTCCTATGCTCATAGTTGAACTTTACATCCAAATTAATATAATAATTCTTCTGTCAGAAGAGTACGTATTTCTTAATTAATATTGAGTTTCTTTTTGTATGCTATTCACACATTCATTTTTATTTTTCATACATTCTTTGTTATTTATGTCATTTAATATTTTTCAATTCATTCGATCCGATGACTGAAAATTAAGAAGGGTGGATAGGAACTAGTGTGGGAATATCACACCCATTTTTATTTTTATTTTTTTTGAAAAATCATGCCGTACAAGGGGGATTTTTATTAAATAAACAAAGAAAGCCACACATAACTAAACCTATTGATACAAAAGTTCATTTCATATAAAATGAAAAGAATGTGTATAATATTCCTCGTCAATAGCCAATTGGTTTTATGGTGAAATCTCAACTTTTTTCGTGATATCAGAGCAGATTGTCTTATGTGTAAAGCCTAATGGCCTCACGTGTTTCACGTCACCCGACTTATGTTGCTTATGTTTTTTATTTGAAAATTCCCCACACGTGAGGGGACGTGTTGAGAGTATTAATCCCACATCGGAGAAAGAAGGGACCTTGTATGTGTTTATAAGTAATTGAGTTACTTCTCATATTATCAATTAGTTTGATAGTGGAATCTCAACTGTCCTCAAATTTTGAATCATTGTTTCAACTTTCTTCAAATATGAATCATTGTTTGCTATTAGAGTAATGTTACGAGTACTAAATTTATAGACAAAATTTGTAAACTAGTTTTGTAAACTAAATGACATGGAAGTTAATGATTGGATTATTACTTAAGCATTGATAAATGTGCTCGTTTTCTATTAGTGACACATTATTTAGTTTACAAATTTTGTCTACAAATTTAGTCTTTGTACCCCCTAGTATTATTTTTTCTATTATGCCCTGTAATTCACTCACAATTATTGTGCTATCTATAGTTAATCAAAAAGTAAAAATGCACATGAAATGGAAGTTTATAAAAATAAAGGACCAACAGCAACAGGTACATGAACTCTCGTGATAATTAAAAGCCTAAAATGGCACCAAAAAGAGACCTAAAAACACTACGTAAACATGTGCAAAAATCACATGCACTAAACACATAGAAAATGACCGATATACGTACATTGCACATGCTGCTCATCCCCTCCTCTCCTAATGCGCTTTTCCATCTGTAAATGAACAAGATTTCAGTGAGACCAAAAACGCAAAGTCTTTGCTTCATCTGAATTTGGTAAAAGTGCATGAGTGACACACCAATTTTAGTTTTATTTTCCTTTTAGGCTTACAAGATTGGTTTCCATCAAAAGATACAATTTCTTGTGCAATCTATGGCCTCATTTGGCTTGCCATATTGCACACCAAACTGTACTTTTAGAAAGAATTCGGTGTTTGACGCCTTATGTATAATTTTAATATCGGTATTAATTAGGAGACATATGTGTCGTCATATCATAGTGTCTTTTAGTAGAATTTTTCCAAAGCCCTAGTTATTATTTAGCCTTTTTCAGTGTTTATAGGTCCCCCTATATTAGTTACTTGTTATTGTCAAGATCATGGCCCATGATATGCAAGTAATCTATGCCCGTGACATGGCAAAAAATATGTGCCGACTTGGAGCCTACACTTATCATTATATAAATCAACAATATTGTATTCTAAGTTGCACCAAGTTTTTAAAGCTCCTCTTCTCATGCTTTTTTCTATTGTTCTTCAATTTGTCCATTTTTCTTCAGCTCCCTTTTTATATTATACATATATGGCCTCTGCTATTTCAGAAAGCAAGCAGTTTGTTCTTGGGACAGATGAGTTCGAAGATTTTGAGGTCACAGAAGTTGATGGAGCCCTTCTCTGGGATTTGCTTGAAGAGTTGGAGAAGGAGGAGGAGAAGAATGACAAACTAGGGTTTGTAGTGCAATCACCAGTGGGTGCTGATGAGGCCAATAATGTGACGACAGATGGGCAGATTTCATTGGAGCAGCATGGGATTGAAATCTGCATCCCTGATTCAAAGTGGGAAGATATAGACATGGTAGAGACTGACCCATCGTATGAAATGGGAGCTTGGTTCAGAGATGATGACATGGTGGGGATGGTTGATTTTGGTTCTAGTATTGGAGATTATCCACAATTGCAGCACAATGAAATAACTTACCATTGCTTGTGGGAAGGATAGTTGAATATATATACATGGATGTAGGGGGAACTAATCAGAAATGAAAAAGCATTGATATTATATGTATGGACCACCAAATTAACCAGTCCATGTATGCCAAGCCTGGTTAATATATGCATGTCACCAGTTATTAGATTAGTTTACCGCCATCTTTAAATAAGTATAGCGACCCAATGGTATTGTTGTCCAATTAATCCACTTGATTCTAAGGATACCTAATATTAATTTCTTGATATGGGAGGTTTTTTTTTTTTTTTTTTTATTTTAAAAAAAAACGTCTATATAAATAAAACTGGTTACAAAAGTTGAATGAAAAAATAAAATCTCGAGTGTACCTTCATTTTTGTCAATTTTATCTATGATTAAGATTTGTATCTGGTCTATAAAGTGTGTATTTCCTCTTTCTTCTCCCTTTTTATGTCAAGAAATCATAACTTATGTCCCTTTACAGCTGTGAGCTGGACGAAAACATAATAGGGGTCAAGTATGTTTCTTCCCATAATATGCACAGTTGAAGCAATCCTTTGCTTGTGAGCTTTGCGGAGGACTTTGGTCTGGGGATTAGTAGAAGGAGAGAGAAAGAAAGTCTTAGAGGCTTGGGGTTTAAGTTTAATAAAGAGGATGATGAGGACAACATCATACCATACCCAAATGACGGTGATCGGTTGCTTACCACAGAACAAAGTAATTTTTGTAATATGCACAATATTGATAAATATTAATGTGTATTGGTGAATATCCATGATAATGGTGTCTGCTATCGAGAATTTGAAAGGGTGGGAACTGGGAAGAACAAACCCATCAGTATTCTAGATAGTGGATTTTATGTTGGGGCGGGTAAGTGCATGCATATACGAGGGATAGAGAGAAAAATGAGGTCTGGCCTAAAATAGAAAAGAGTTTGGATTGACAATGCTGTTATGGTCCCTTAGTGGCTCCGCTCATGATTCTAGATAGAGGCGGAGCCATGAAAAGACCAGGATGGTCTCAGCCCCATCCCGACATTTTTCACGCATAGAAGTTTAGTGTCATACTTATGATTTTCAAGATTTTTCCGTAAGCTCAAGACCCCAATCTGACGTTTTTACTTTAATTTTGTTCGTCCGTTTGAGGTTGATGGCTCCTACGGAGTTGAGGCAATCCATTGCTTATGAGCTTTGAGGAGGACTTTGGCCTGGGGATCAGTGGAAGGAAAGAGAAAGAAAGTCAGAGAGGCTTGAGATTTAAGTTTAACAAAGAGGATGATGAGGTCAACATCATACCATACCCAAACGATGGTAATCAGTTGCTCACCACACGACAGAGTAATTTTTGTAAAATCAGGAAAGTGTTTTAGATTGATACTTTTGTGCCCCTTCTAAACTAAAATCCTGACTCCGCCACTGATTCTAGAGCCCCGATTTGACTCACCAAGAAAAAATAACTCTATTAGCACTACGGTATACTAGTCTGTTATCTACGCTTAGTAAGTCACAGGTTTAAAGGTTTTTCAACACCCATAAAATCTCAGGTTCAATACATAATTTCACTAGCTTATTGTCTGACTTATCGTTGTTTGAAATATGAAAAAAATCAAAACAGTATAAATTCGGGGAATCCATCCAATGAGGATATCTATTAGTTTCGACTGCATGAGTTTAGTAACCGAACACAATTATTATTAAGATTATGCACCGTTTAGTTGGGTAAATCCTAACTACCGCATCTGTAAGGAAACAACAGTGAATTCAATAGATACGTATGAATATTGTGTGCAAAAATACATTTAAATTGGTCAAGTAGCATGTCTTTCACGCCATATTTCCCAAGATTTTGAGCACTTTTTCATCATTTATATGAACTATCAAAGATATTGGTATGTAAGTATTCATCAATATTTCCGTGGATACCTCATACAAATATTTTCTTACTGCCTGTGGGGTGAAGAAAGAACATTTAAAGCATAGTTGTGATTCGTCGGTCTTCTTCTCTAGTGTATGAAAATATATAACTAGTTAATCACGACCCCTGCCTGAGTATTCGGGCTGGAAACAAATCTATCAGGTGAATTCTGAGTTTGAGTTACACTACTGGTGGTATTTGTGTGCGGGTGAACTTTGAATTTGAGATGAGATTATTTGTTGTGGTATGCTTACGCTCAAGGTCTGATCTTGTCAAGATGCGGAGTTTTGTAAGTCGGCCTTGTTTGATCCAACAGAAAACTTGGCTATGAAAAACCCTATTGTATCAAGCGAGGACGATGGATCAAACCTCTGAACGAGTTCTTCCTCCCCGGGTCTCAGCCACTCCCTGTGAGGTCAATCAGATCAACTGGTTAGTTAAGGTTTGGGAAGGAGTTTAAACAATTACATAGGACTGAGAAATGAACTCACTCAGTATATCCATCGGGAAATTCAAAACGGCCAACAAGACCAGGTCCTCCAATCCTTGGGTGCTGAAAATCAAAGTAAATAGGAAATGAAAAATTAGCTGGCTGAGATATAGTTAATTCCTCATTGTTAAGGAACTAAATTGCATAGACCTCCAAGAAACTATCTGAACCAAACCTGCGGTGCCAAGGAGAGGAATTTATATGTATCCAAAGCATATCGAACAACGGCTTCATTCTCTCCAGGATTTATGGTACATCTGCAGGCGAGAACAATGTAGAAAGTTCAGTTCAATGGTAGGACGATGCCTGTACAAGAATTTAGTTTCTTCTATGGACACTAAATGTACTGAATATGCCATTGACATGTTGCTGTTTAAATTTTTTGCTAAGGGTTAAAAGCAAAAGGTTAGACTTTCATTTGTATATGACCAACTTGACTGAAGCTGCATAAGCAATCAAAGCCACAAATTGTTAAGCAAATTGAATGACTACTCTGGAGAGATTTTGTTTCATATCATGTAAAATCCATAAACGAGAAAGAGATAAGACCAGAGAAATAAAGGGAAGTGAAGGCAATGAACATGGTGATACAGTTTAAAAAGATGGCACTGGTGATGTAACCATCTTTTTCTTGAAAATGAACCAACGATGTAACTTATGATCGAAGTCAAGAAACCTTGCATACTTGAATACTTATCATGTAATGCTCAATAACACTATGAACAAGAGGAGGCGTATCTACTAACGTTGAATACACAAGAACTCCACCCGGGCGAACCAACTGAACAGCCTGATCAAGCATTCTTCTTTGATATGTCGCATGCTTTCTCATGGATTCAATTGTTTCCTGGAATAAGCAACCAACTTAATCAAAACTTAAAAATGTTAATGAACCTACTTTTAAACAAAACATCTTGTAGATACATCCATAAGACATCAACAAGACAACAAGGCATTAAAAGTACAAAGACCAATGAACAAACAAAAAAACTACTCCTGTAAACATGTATTAAAAGTAGAACAATATTTGATAGGATTATGGTACCTCTCCAGCAAATAGTCGTGGTCTTAAACCAAGGGCAGAGCAGGGTGCATCAAGAAGAACTCGATCAAAGCTCTTAGGAGCAAATCCTTTTGACTTCTCAACCCTACCACCCACGCTCTGATTTCTTCCAGGACCATTCCGTTTTCTTCGCATTTCCTTCCTGATGGCAGCTTTGCTAGTGTATGTTGTCTCATTCGCTTTTTCATTGCTAACTAAAACATTGATTTGATTAGATTCAACTCTAGTTTCCAAAGAAGCCTTTACCATGCACATAATAAAATCAAAATGACAACTGTAGCATCAGTATGAAAAAGAACAATAACATGTAGAAGATATCATAGAATCCACAAGGTCACAAATTATTGCAAGTATATTTAATGACCTTGTTCACAAATTAAAAACATTATGAACATACATACTGATTCCAACAAGTTCCTGTTCCTAACTATCAGAACCAGAAGTCAGTGCAGAACCATGAAAATTGTTCTCGTGTACACATATGAGAAAAGTTTACCTACCACTTTTCTTGAAATCCGTCTCAGCATTCAACCTTTCAAAAGTAATCAATTTAGAATTCTCCAATTCTGACTTTATCAAGTCAGAACCTTGAACGTTTCCACCATGATGATCCTTAATGCAAGAGTGATTAGAAAAATCATTGGACTCGTTTGTTGTACAAACAGATTTTAGAGCGTCTAGTTTATATGGGGTTATACAACTCAGGCCCATTTCAGCAGCCAATTTGTGAATACCCTGCACCTGCAAAAGTATTGCGAGTGTAAGTAGCACAAGAAACCGGAAGCCTTAAAGCTAAAAAACCAAGAAGGGGGAATATTCATTATGGGACATTAAAATTCCAAGATCAGTGGAATTATCTTTCCACAATTTGATATAAATAAGGAACCCAGAATCTAACCACCTATGAGAACCACAGCAATTCTGTTGGACAGACCTTATATAAAGAACTAAAATCCACAACATGACTTAAATAGGATACCGAAATCATAAACCAAGGCAAAGGGAGACACTGTTTCTTCTACCACATCTCAGGTTAGGAAATTTACCTTATTGTGAGATCTATCAGCGGCAACAATTTCTCCTTCATCCTTCATAAGAAGTGCAATTGCAGTTGTCTTCCCTCCCGGTGCAGCACACATGTCTAATATGCGCTCACCTTTTTGAGGATCTAAGAAACACAAGAGAAATAACAAAATCACCGATTAAAAACTTTCATTAAATATTCCAAAAATGATAGCAGTAAAGCAACAGCCAGCTAATTCCTATGGAAGTAAGCATCCATCACAAATATAATACATCATATAAATAATATAAATAAAGGAAAACCATGACACAGATCACTACTTTGTGCAGAAACCCAAAAGATTATGTAGTTATTCTGGTTTTGGCACACTGTGACAAAATCCTAAAGAACCAATGATAATTAGGAAACAGTAACATATGTAGATTGCTTTAGGTAATCATAACAATGTGATAGGTACCTAGTGCGTGAGCAGCAACAATGCTTGGCAGATTTTGAAGAAATATTTCCCCCTCAAGCACGTCTGGAAGCCATGAAAAAAGACATTGGAATTATAGCCGATTGAAAAACCAAGAATACACACCATATCAGAGAGAACAAGCAATTGCTCATCAATTAGGTAAAAAACAAAAAGACAGACCATAGATAAAAGAAAAATCAAAGTTCCCTCATTAATGACCCATGTCAACTACTAAGGAGAATATCCTTCAATCTATAAAGTAAAAATCTATAACTAGATTATCAATGCAATACTATATGAAACAAAAATGGAGCAAAAAGCATGAATTAAAGCTCATTGAAACACTTAATATGCTAGAGGAAGAGCCATGCAACAGCTTCAGACAGCATGAAATACATTAGCAGAGAGCTAGGCTTCTACTCTCGTATGAACCATACCATGTAACGAAGGGAGATTAAATACTCTGTCACTCATATCCACAGCAAGCCCTTCCATAACACGGAAAATCCCAGCCCTTGACAGCATTGCTTTTCCTTGGCCGATATACAGTCCACTTCGTTCAATATGATAAGGATCTAAAACATCATTTAAAAGTAACATCTATTAACCCAGAGTCACTTAAACAAACTCACAACCCTTGTAACCTATTCTTCAATCCCCATACATGAACAAATACACTATTTACCTGTCTCTGAACCTTGCAGCACAGTCCCTCGGGTGATCCCAACGACCCATCCACCATCGGCACCAGGCTGCTCAACTGCCACTGAAACCGCCACAACATCCCCTTTCTCGACATGAGCAGTGCAACCCAATACACCAGGAACATACACCTACATATCAAAAACCCCAAAAACATCCTCTTTCAGCTACAACTGAATAAGCAAACCAAATTCAAAGCAAAAGGAACCGAAAAAATGCTAACCTGGGCACCTCGAAGAACTGCCTCGGCGCATTTCCGGCTCACAAGAACCTCTTTCGGAAGCTTCCCATCTGCAGCACAGCCATAATCAATGGCGTGAGGACCCGAACCCCTCACAAACAGCACATAGTCCATCCCTTCCACTTCACACTTGGAAATGTCAGCTCCATTTTCTTTCAGAACCGCCTTCAGCTTCTCAATGGCGGCATCCGGCGTCGACTTCAGCGTGTTCACGCGTATACAGGAGTAGCAAGACGGCCGCCTGAGCAAACCCAATGAACAAAAAGACAGAAAATATAAGAAAAATGAAATGCACCACTGCAATTGTAGAGAGAGAGAAAGAGAGAGAGGTACGTTAGGGCTTGGGAGATGCGGGAGAAATGGTGGGGTCCGTATGCGTTGGAGAAGTAGCTTTCGAGGTCGGCGTTCCAGCGGAGAGTTGGGTTGTAAGAGTAGCGCTCTGGTAAATCTTCCATGGCTTTATGGTGCTTGGTGAAGAGGGAGGCGATGGTTTTGAGCAAGTTCCGAGCTTTCTTCTTCATTCAAGGAGGCGGAAGCAGCAGCACCACCACCATTTTTGAATGAGTTGCTGAAGCTCGGGGTTTCCGGCAATCGGACTTTGGGGTTTTTGGTGGGAAACTGGGCCGGGATAAACCTCTTCTGCAAGCGAGAGTTTTGGGCTTTGGGTTGTTTGGGCCTGTCTGGCGCCGAAAGCGAAGGTTGTGAGGGCTGGACAATGTGGCACCACTATGAAGATGAGTGTTGTCATTGTATTACGATGTGAGTTCAAACTCTGTCAACTCTCTAATCTAACATCTAATCTAACAAATATATTGTTTGACCCAAAAAAAAAAAAAAAAAAAAAAAAAAAAAAAAAAAAAAAAAAAAAAAACTTTACAAAAAGAAAAGATGGGCACTTGTAGCACAAAGTTGCAATACTTTGACACATTTCTGTAGGGGTGGATTCAATTCCCAAAAATCCCAAACCAAACCAAAAAAATACCGATTTTTCCAAAATTTCGGTATGGGAATCGGGATTGTCTTCCCAATATTTCGGTATTCCCATACCGAAACAAAAATATATATTTTTAATTATTATATATATATATATATATTTACATAGATAATAATATATATATATATTTTTTTTTTTAATTATAGTTAGAGTTAATTTGAACCGTTGGATTGTTTCAAATTAATCTATGTCGTCCATCCATTCCTTGTTAGGCTTTCAACTTTCTCCCCATCGAGGACTCCACTCCAGTTTCGAACTTTCATTTCATTTCTCAGTTCTCACTCACTCAAACTCAGTCTTTCAGCTCAGTCTCACTCAAATCCAACTCCGGCCAGCCATTCACCGGCCCACCACCACACGGATCATCCACCGTTGTCTCTCTCTGACGGTGGACCTTTCCTTCACGACACAGAGCTACAGCCACCACTGGTCTCTCTCTCGCTATTCTCTCTCTCAAGAGCCTCTGACTCTCTCACGTGATTCTCTCTTTCAGATTCAGACATAGGTAAATAAATATGGGAATTAATTTAGGGTTTGTGAAATTTAATTTACGAATTCTACATTAGGGTTTGTAATTTTAGGTTTTTTGAAATTAAATTTTTGAATTCTAGATTAGGGTTTGTTTGGTTTCACATATCAGATTCTATTTAATTGATCTAATGGTTTAGGTTCTTGGGTTTTTGCAGATTGGTGAAGGCCCAAGGAATTGGGCTCTTTTGCTTTGCTACTGCAGCTTCTGTGCTGGAGTTTTATTTACCAATAGGTAAATATCTCAGAAGAGTTCTATTTAATTGTATGCTCTCTTGAATTGTATGCTCCTTTGATTTAATTGTTGTTGCTTTTAAAAGTGTAATGTGGGACATATTTGTATTCAAGTCTTGGAAGTATTTAGTCTTTAAGGAATCTAAGCTGTTGGAGCTTTGGTATATTTACATTAGTCATTGGTTGACCTTTGTAATAGGTTGTGGCTTATTATCTGGTTTAATACTCTCTCGATGCAAACTGTTTCTTTCTTTTGAAGCCTTCGTTCTTCAACTTATTTAGTTGAATTGCTTTCTTAAGTGAAGTTCATTATTATATCTCACTAAATGCAATCACTGCATGTCTGACCAGTTCAAGGATTGAGTGAATGAGTCCATTTTTCCTTACCTTTTTTCCTTATCTGTTTTGGATTTATGCAACGCAAGGATTTTGGTTTGATTTTATTTCTACACATAATGATTTGATGATCACTTTATAGCCCAGCCAAGTTATTAAATTTATAGCCAGCCAAATTTTGATCACTGCACATTGCACAGCCAAGATATGCAGTGCAGATTGGCTATTCTGCACACTGCACAGCCAAATATTATAGCCCAAAAGTCCAAAATCTTAAAAGCTCAAAAATATTTCGGGATTCCAAAAATTTGGTTTAGGATCAGTCTTGAAATTTAGAATACCAAAAATTTTTGTTTGGGAATCGGGACTAAGGTTTTAGTTCGGTATCCATACCGAACCATCCCTAGTTTACACTACTAAATTAGTTTAGGTCCATTTGGGACATCTGATAAATTTGGAATGATGCTAAATTAATTTTGTCTCCTAAACAATTGAGTGGAAAATCAAAACTAAGACTTTGAAAATATAAAGATATGATTTTAATTACTTGAGCTACAAGTTCAATACGAGTGAGAAACCTCACACTTAAACATCATGTGCAATATTAACCAAGTGCAAGGTTCTAAAAAAACGTTAGGCGCTAGTTGGGCGGCGGGCAGGGGCCTAGCGCCTAGGCGGCTAGGCGGACACCTACGCAGCCTAGATGGATTTATGTAAATTTATTATATATCTTGTAAATATGTGTTTATTTACACCTAAAAAACTATATTTCTATGAATAATAAAAGAATAATAAAATGCAAAAATAAAAGTAGAAGACTACACAAAGTATATACATCCAAAAAGACATAACCCAAAAAAGACCTTGTATGTTTAGCTATTTACAAAGAAAACCCTAACCTAAAGATGATAAAGGATTCGACAACAACTTCTAGATATATTGTTTAATTTATTATATATTCTCAATCCATTATTTTACTAAACAAGTCTTTTTCTTTGTTCATTGAACCATTTCTGACACCCAACTCTCATCTTCTTTTTTCTTTATGCTGTCAATTCCAAAGTCTCCATACATTATCTTCACTTCTCCATCAAACCGCATATCCCTTGGTTTAAACAACCCAGTTACCTTCTTTATGCAGTGTCGTCCTGTCATCAAGCAAACAAGCCCTCATCTTCATCAAACCGCAGATCCCGACCAACCCAACCCAAAAATCAACTAAATTGTGTGGGTTAGTGTAGTTGTGATCCCCGACGGCGATGGTTTCAAGAAGTTCCAGACGGCTCTCCCTATCTTCTTTCAACAACAAAATTGCAGATCTCTTTGTCCTTCCGCAACAGATCACTCTCTTGTCGTCAGTACAAAGAGTTTTATTTTTATTTTTGTTACAAAACCAAGTGGCCACCTAGCCCACGTTGCCTGCCCATCGGCCGCCTAGACACCGGTTAGTAGCCCTTCTGATTTGTTGAACGATTTCATAATAATCGCGGCGGAGACTAGCCATCCAGCGCCTAAGCGGCCGCCTAACCCGCATTTTAGAATACTGACCAAGTGTAATAGTAGTTTGGGTATACAACAATTGAATTCTAGGTTTCTTTTTGTTTCAAAATAGTGTTGTAAGTATATTTCGATATGGTCTTCTTATCCTAAATAGAATCACTAAGCAAATTGTTCATTATAAGCCTTGTAGGGTGGTTAATATTGATTGATAGATTTTTTTTTTTTTTCAAGAAGCGATAGAGGTGCACTCCATCAATCATCAAAAATAACTATAAGATTGTTATTGGAGTACATTACTCCAGTGACCAATAAACAAAAGATGCAACAAAGTTATATTGATCTACCACAATAAACAATAGATGCAACAAAGTTATGCTCTAGTGACCAACAAACACACAATCGCCAAGTGCACAATCACCACTAGTACTGTTATGCCACAATAAATGATATACGCAACAGTGTCAACCACACTAGTCATCGTTGAATAGCAAGGCCACCTAATGTCATGTTAGTAGAGTGAGGCCACATCAATTCATTGTTGGCATATTTTATTTGTTTAGAGAATTAATTATTTAGTTTAATGTGTTAGTGGAGTCTTCACGACAGCTGACAAACGAGGAAATGTAGAATTCAAGGGAATATATTTAGTCACTGTCTTCACGTGATGGTGATTGTAATATCCCACATCATCCAGGAAAATGGATGTTGTAAGCCTTATATGTATATTCTCATATCTACCTAGCACGAGACCTTTTGGGAACTCACTAGCTTCGGGTTTTATCGGAACTCCGAAATTAAGAGAGTTCGTGCGAGAGCAATCCCAGGATGGGTGACTCACCAGGAAGTTCTTGTGTGAGTTCCCAGAAACAACCCGTGAGGGTGTAGTCGGGGCCCAAAATGGACAATATCGTGCTACGGTGGAGTTGAGCCCGGGATGTGGTGGGGGCTCAGGGCAGGATGTGATAATGATGCTTACTCTATTTATCATTATTGTATGAACTTAAGTTTCGAAATCTGTATAGTGGATTGATACAAATCTCAAAATTTAAACTAATGCAATGGTAAGAAATGAATGTATTTTGCTCACCACTCTCAAGTGGTAGTAATGTCACCATCTTATCATTGTATGCATTTAAATTTTGAGATTGTATATATTCATTACACAAATTTTGAAATTTAAATTTATCTAATGGTGATAAATAAGGCAGTAAACATCACCATCACTTGAGAACAATGAGCAAAATTATTTTCGATAATAAATAAGATAGTGAATATTACCATCACTTAAAAATGTCGAAAATCCATGCATCAAAACAAATCTCAAATGTCCCGACGATTCCAATAAGCTCAATATGAATTAACTGAATCACAAGATGACTCAATCAGCACACCCTTCAACCAGATAAAGGTTCATTAGATTTTTTTTTTTTTTTTTAAAGATATTATTTACAGGATACAAAAGGAAGTTAAATCTTACAATGGGTCGTGTAGTTCAAATTTATCTTTGAAGATAATCAAATGTAAGAGCCCTCAGTTACAGCGGCAGAAGATACAATGATCCAATGATTAGAAATTTAGAAACCTCGAATGTCGTGTCCACTAGCCGAGTAGGACACAGCACAGCTCGGTCATCACTCGCAAGCTGTCTCTTTCATCTCCCTTAGGCCTCATCTGATTTGGCGGGCACAAACAATCGTAATGCTTGCTGATCTCACCGCCCCGCCCCGCCCCCCGCCCCCACACACAATAAGCAAATTGCTCAATCGATTTCATCGCTGCGTCCACCAGCTAACAACACAAATAAAGCAAAACAAGGCAAATGCTTCGAATCGGCGTCCTCAGATTTGTCGCTCTCCCTCGTTCTTCTTCCTTTTTCTTCAGTAGCTCTTCTCCCAAATTCCTCAATCCTCCTACGATTCGCGCCAAGTTCGCTTCCCATTCCCGAACGATGGCTTATACGACGTCGTCGGGTTCTTCCTCCAAGCTCCTCTTCCGGCAGCTCTTCGAGAAGGAGTCCTCCACCTACACTTACTTGCTCGCCGACGTCTCTCACCCCGACAAACCCGCTCTGGTCAGCTTTTTTCTATTAAGTGTTTAATTATTTAAGTAGTGATTTTGGTTTTAATTATGATTAGGATGATGATGAATCGATGATGCAAATTTTGGGTCTTTAATTCGTTGGTTGAATTTGCAGTTGATTGACCCGGTGGACAAGACGGTGGATAGGGATATCTTACTTGTCAAAGAGTTGGGGTTGAAGTTGATCTACGTCATGAACACTCATGTTCATGCTGATCACGTGACCGGTACCGGTCTTATCAAGGTTCCAACTTTCGATTTTTTTCTAGAAATTTTTTTTACTCTTTTTGTTAATGTTGCTGAATTTGTATTATTCATGAATGACGAAATGAAGAATTGCTTTCGAATGATGCTATTTGGGGAAAAAGTTGCGTTCTTTGATGGAATTCTGTAATCAATGATTTACCAATGTGTGGTTGCCTTTTTATTGATATGCAAATATTTGTTGTGGCAGACTAAGCTTCCTGGTGTGAAATCTGTCATTTCGAAGGCGAGCAAATCAAAAGCAGACCTTCTGATAGAATCCGGCGATAAATTATATTTTGGCGATCTGTTTTTGGAGGTATGCCAACACTTGGGTTTATTTTCCCTTATGTTTGAAGTTTCTTGCACAATGTAACATGCAAATCGGAATGTTCTGATGGTTTCTGGAGGAGTAATATGACAAAAATTAGTGAAAAAGTCTGAGTATCATTTGAGGTGTAAGTAGAGTGGGGATAGTTCAAAATGTGTCTCTTTGCTTCCCAGTGGTTATTATATATGAATACCTGACAACTATACTACAGTGTAGTTTTTCTTCTCTAGAGTTGATGATTCTGTCTTCAGTTATTGTGTGAGATCAACGTTTCTATCAAATAGAATGTTGAACAATTACTAAGAAGATTGGATGACAATGTGCTAACTGCTACGTGGAGGTAAAAAACTTGATTGATTAATTTGGAGTGTTCGGCCTAAACCTGTAGCAGTTCGGAATCTCATAATGAGGTTTGAATACTGAAAACCAGCTTTTCTCAAACTAAATGCTTTTGGGCTGACAAAGTAGAAGAAATCCTGCAGTATGTTAGAATGGCACTTCATAAATGTTAAAATTTCAGTATAGTGCTCGGCTTATGTGTACTGGTATAGGTTGTGATCTAGTGCATCCCTTATTCCCTCTTATAGTGAAAAAACTGACCAAAAGAACTAACCTACTGTAACATATTTTGTTGTCTATGCACCAATTTTGAACCTAGTTTTGTGCAGATTCTCTACGTTGGGATGTCTGTGGCTGGGTATGAATGTGTTGTGCATGTGTTTGCATGTATGCTTGTATATGTATGCATATGTATCTTATGTTCGTATGTTGTGGTCTGCTGCATCCAATTTCTGGTCTAATGGCAAGATAGGTCGGCACAAAGAAACAACCTGCTGGAACAAAATCTGTCTTGTACTTACCGATTATTGACTTGTTACTTTTCTGTGGTTTTGTCTGGTATTCACTGATGGTGTGTGTGTGCGCACGCGTGCACACTTTGTATCCGACCATTTGACATGTTCTTTTGTACGTTTATATTTACGTTTCAGGTTAGAGCTACTCCTGGGCATACATTAGGTTGTGTTACCTATGTTACAGGAGATGGGCCTGATCAACCCCAACCAAGGATGGCTTTTACTGGAGATGCAGTACTCATTCGTGGATGTGGGAGAACTGATTTTCAGGTATGTCTATAGTATCATAAACTTCTAAAAAAATTTAAGATGTCTGTGACAGTTCCGCTGCTCTTTATCAAATGAAAGGAAAACGAAAAAGTAGTGGCAGTGTGCCAGTGGAAGTTAACTTGTTTTTTAAAACGGGATTGTGAAGGGCATTTGTCAAGTTTGTTGTTTTGATTTCTCTAATCTGCTTGCAGGGTGGCAGTTCACAACAACTCTACAAGTCAGTTCATTCACAGGCAAGCACATGACAAGATAGTATACTTTGGCTTTCAGTACCATGAGAAATGAATGAGGTTGATTCATGACATTATATATTGAGAAAACGCTAATACTTTTGTTCTTACAAATCCAGATTTTCACATTGCCAAAGGATACACGTATCTATCCTGCTCATGATTACAAGGGATTCACTGTAAGGAACCATCTACTGTTTATTTCTTCTGTACCAAGTGAACCTATGCAGCTACTTATGCCGCATGTTTGCTTGAGATGCAGGTTAGTACTGTGGGGGAGGAGATGCTCTATAATCCCCGGCTCACAAAAGATGAGGTATATAGTTGTTTTTCGCCAAAATCTTATGCCCCTTGCAGTTGCTAAATTTTGATTTTCGTCAAAAAGATGTTGCTACTACTATCTGGTTAACGAGCAGATAATGATTTTCCTTTTTACTGTAATGAATTTGATTGTTGATTCTTTTTTATTTATCTGCATATCCTGGGTCAATATTTAGCCAGGATGTCTTAGCATAATATTCACGAGGGGAGATATTAATGTGACGGAGCTTCTGCCTAAAAGAAATCGCTTAGTTTTAGTAAGAATGGTTGATACTAATGTTGCTCAGATATTGTAAGAAGAATTTTGGAAAAAATTATAGGGTAATGAGAAAAACTTTTTCTACCGTGTGAAGATTATTTGCTGAATAAGTAGCATCCGGTGTAGGGAAGTTTGCATGTTTTTAACTATATGCGCATTATTAAAATTTCACTTTTATCTTTCATTGATGACAAGGATATGTTTGATGCTTTTTACCTTTGTAATAACTTTTTATTTTTGAACTGTTTTGTGCAGGAGGAGTTTCAAAGTATCATGGAAAGTAAGTAAACGTATTTAGCATCTAAGCTTGTAGCCGTTTACCGAACCGTTTTAGGTTAATTAAGACAAATTTTATGTTTTTTGACAGATCTAAAACTGGCATATCCAAAAATGATTGACATAGCTGTACCTGCAAATATGGTTTGTGGATTGCAAGACTTGTCTGAAAGACCTGCCGAGCCCGTGGCCAACTAGATACAGTTGCTGCTATGATTTGTACTTCGGACAAGAACTTCTAAAAGGAGCTGGCGCGTTACCACATAACTCGGTGAAATTCTACAACTACCAGACTTATATTGCCGAAAAGGCAGCTCTATATCCTATGAGGTAATGTCAGGGAGACTAAATTTGGAGACTAAATCTTCTAATTAAATACTGTGTCACCAATAAGAATAAGCACGTTTATCAACGTTTAAGTAATAAACCAATCATCAACTTCCATGTCTCTTAGTTTTCAAAACTTTCTTTACAAATTTAGTCTCCCTAGCATTACCCTATCCTATGATACCTCTCGTGTTCGTTTCAAGAGATAATTGTATGAGTTATTTTGTTGTGCAGAAAAATAATAAGAAAACGGAACGAAAAAGGAAAAAAATGTGTGGATGAATGAAAGAGCCAGCTACCTGCTGCTGTTGCATTGGATTTACTACGTTAAACCTTTTACTATTTTTTTACTATTTTCCATGCAACATCTTCTGCATAACATCTTTGTTGTTGAAGTTCTACCTTTCGGCAGTTTTGAAATCTAGATTTCATTCAAATTTGCTCAGAAACTGAATACTTGGACCTCTCAGAGACCAGAGAACATCCATCCATAATTTCTGTTTTATAGTATCTTTATCTACCTCAATTACCTCATCCATTTGGACATCGTTTGGACTTTTGACTTTTTAATCCATGCTTTCATTTAGGCATTTGGATAAGGGATTTCGAAGGCAACTAGAACAAGTTATTGAGAATTGGACAACATAATGTTAGATAGGGGATCGGGAATGCTCCCATGAGTATTACAAAGGCATGTGAGAGCGATGTGCAAATCCCTACTTTAAATGTGTCATTTGCAATTTCTTCCCACATGTCTTTGTAATGCTCATGGAGGGCATTCATAATCCTCTCTATTAAACATTTTGGGTCATTTCTCGATAACTCGGTCTGAATCTGTCTAGGACCTGAAAATTCTTTATCCAAACATGGTCAAATAGCTTCAGTTTTACCCAAGAGCTCATTTCCATCCTTCTAAATGTTTTACGGTAGTTATTTTGAACTCATGTTTTAGTCGTATATGCTTCAAATTGGATACTTTGGATATTTTTTAATGAATTAGATAGGAAATGAGGTTTCTAATTTCACCCCGAATAAAAATTTAAAATCAAATTTTCTTTCTATTTGGAATTGTGAACACGAAAAATTCCTGAAAACAAGAGACAAGAATAACGTGTACAAAGTAATATTTTTGTGTTTAATGATTTTAGGGTTACGATCTCTCAAATTTGGTCCTCTGATTCTATCTTCGTAGGGGGTAGGTTTGTGGATGAGTTGTTTATCCAAAGAGTCGTCGGGGCTTGATCTAAGGATGAACAGTTGATGAATGAATCTTCAAGGGGCGTTGGGCTTGATCTTGAAGAATGGGTATATGGGTTTGTTGAGGTTGTTGATCCAAAGGGCCGACTTGATCTTAGGATGAACGGATGATGAATGATGAACACTTTCTTCAAGGGGCTGTCGGGGCTTGATCTTGAGTTGGTGGGAGTTCTTCAAAGGCCGTTGGGGCTTGATCTTGAAGGAGGATTTGACGAAGAACGAAGAGTGCTTTCTTGATCCTTCGGGATTTTCTTAAGAGCTTTAGAACTTTAAGGCTTCAAGGTTTTGGTGTGTGTTCTCTTCCAATTTGGGAGTAGAGAAATGTATTTGTGAATTGGTGTCTAGAGAAATGTATTTGTGAATTGGTGTTTTTTCCTCTTGATGGAGAAGCCTATTTATAGGTTTTGAGAGTGAATCACCATCATCCATTTTTTTGGTGAATTGAGTGGATGTTGTAGGTGAAGTAAATGGAGTTGGTAGGGTGAAGTAAATGGAGTTGGTAGGGTAAAATAAGTGTGTGAGGTAGGTGAAATAAATAAATGTTGTAATTTTAATACCTTGGTTAACATTTATTTCACTGAAATTTCGATGTCTACAGGAATATTTCAAAATATTAAAATTTTCCCAACTTTCAAATCAATGTTATCTTGGAATTCTCAGAGCATAACTAAAAAAATCCTACATTTTACAATTTTGGGAATTTTTGAAACTTTTTGTATATGCAAATCAAGGTTCTTTCTTGAGTTTTGATTTTTGGTGTGTATTTGTAAATTCATTTTGTTGTATATTAGTATGTTGGGTAAATCTCAGTTTACTACCCTCAAGTTTCGTGGTTTTCAACATTTAGTACATGAAGTTTTTTTCGTCCCAGAGTCATACCTAAAGTGTTAATTTTGGGACAATCTTATACATCTGTTAGTATAGTTGTTAAGTCTCCCGGTAACTAATGATGTAGTGCCCATGTGGACAATAATTGAACGCCACGTGTCAATAAGGGGTCCACGTGGAAATTAAAAATTAAAAAACGAAAAAATTTTTGGTCGTCTTCTACCTCCCTGCCGCCAATCTTCTAGATCCCAAAACTACAACCCCTACCTCTTTTGCCTCTTCTCGGCCCGCCACCTCTGAAATTCATAAGGCTCTAATTTCGATTGCCTGCGCTTTCTCGCAGACCACGCCATAAACCCTAAAATAATCAACTGAAAGCAAACCCTAGAAGAAAAATTCACGACTGACTTCGCTCAATGTTCACCTTCTTGAACGAAAAACCAAAACCTATATCACAAAACCTAAAACCCAGAAAGAAAAATCAATCAAAATCATATTCCAAAATTCATGAGTGGCTTTGCTAGATCGTTACATGTTTTGAATGAAAAACCAAAAACCCATAAGTCCTTTAATTACTCGCACAGTCGTCGTTGTGATTGCAAAGAGATAGAGGGATGCCTCAACCTTACTAGCCTTGCCGCATCAGCCCGAATAATCTCCAAAAGCCCATCTTCTGCCGCCTTGGTCAATCCGGCGTGCAGGCGCGCTTCCGACATAGCCTTCTTATCCAAAACCCAGACACAGACGGTAGGGTATTGGTGCGCACACGTGGAATCGTGAGCCTCCTTGGCCGAGTAGAGCTTCTAGACTAGGGTCGGTCCGGCTGACCCAATTTGAGAGAGAGAGATGGAGGAAAGTGAAATCGTTTCACACAAAGAGGAGGGTTTGGTGGGTGGGTGGATGGGTGGAGTCAAAGATGCAGGGGGGAGGGTGGATGTATGACGAGTCGAAGAAGAGAGGAGATAATGGAGGGATATGGGAGGAAGGGAAAGTCGGGGGAGGTAGAAGACGACCAATTTTTTTTTTTTTTTTTGAATTTTTAATTTTCACGTGGACCCCTTAATGACACGTGGTGCCCAGTCATTGTCCACATGGGTACCACGTCATTAGTTAATGGGAGACTTAACAACCAGACTAACGAATGTATGAGACTGTCCCCAAATTAACATTTTAGGTATGACTCTGGGACGAAAAAAACTTCATGTATCAAATGTTGAAAACCACGAAACTTGAGGGTAGTAAACTGAGATTTACTCTAATATGTTTTATTTGTACATAACATGGATATATATAATCATATAGAGACACGCATTTTTATACTCATAATGGTATACTCATTATTTTTAATTGAGTATTGTTAAATATCATTAACAATAAATAAAACATATTCAAAATAAGAGAAATGCTATAGAGACCCTCTATGAACTCTCTGCCGCCTAATTTTTTGGCACAATTGCCGTGCTAACATTATAAAACATCATGTAAAAACATGAGGTGCCGAAAATTCCATAGAGAGTACCACTTTAAGAGAATGTGCTTAACATTTCTCTCCAAATAAACAAAGAACACGAATGAATATTAATTAGCTCACACTAGGAGTAAAGGAATCACTATTCACTAGCCGCGTGTTTTATTAAAGAGATCACTTTGACCTAATCTACATTATTCAAGGATGAAGGGATCTTGAATAATGTAAATCAAATTTCAATGGCACGGATTCGCTGATTTGATGGATTATGAGGAAGGGATTTGAAGATGATTCATTTCCATTATTCAAGACATAAAGTATCCACATTTTCAGGTAAATATTGTAGTTAGGCTGCTAATGTGAATTAAATTAGAGGACTTAAGTGGAAGATATGGTCTAATGACTGAGATGCAAGCAAGTCTAATTAGGACTTGTTCTTGAGGGATTAAAAGACTTAACCTAATTACTTAACTTCAAATTTTCAAAGGGGGGAATAAATAATGGGAAATTACAAAAGAACAAGAATACCGCAGGCTAAGCAAAATAATCTCCAAGAAAAAGAGGAGGAATAATAAAATCATAAGAGTCCAAGTCAAGCAATTCGAAAATGTTGATGAGGTCTAGATTTTCACATGAGGAGAAATTTTTTAGTGTACTCAGATTACAAGTCGGTACATTATGTATCATAATAATATATGATGTATCGATTGGTGTTTCTAATAAATATAAAAAAAGAAATGTTAAGAAGACTCTTAAAAGTGGGACACCTTGTTGGAGTAGGATTCTCTCCCCTCTTGATCTCTCTCTCCTTCCCTCTTCTCCTATTTAACGGTTACAATTAAGCCACATCAATTTTTGTATAGAGAAGACAAAAAGGAAGGTGTGAGAGGAGGGAAGAGAAGGAGATAGTAATAGGAGGGGAAAAAATCTTACTCCCTCTCTGCCACCTCATGTTTTATAATATTGGTACGAGAATTGACATTAAATTGTGATTTGTCAGAAAGTTCGTAAAGTGTCTCACTTTTGAAAATTTTCTTAACATTTCTCATGGAAAAATTTCTCCGATTAAGGAGAAGGATGTGCATGGTGGCATGCATATTTTGATTCACATCCAAATGCTAGAGGACAGATTTTGAGGTTGAGATTCTCGTCAAGTTTCCCAACCTTCAAGATGTTTAATTTACTTGCTCCAAGAAACAAGCACTAGTTGTTATTAGTGGCTCTTAAACTTTGGTTATTGTTAAACTCGAACTTGAGGAAAACCTAAAATGTGATTGCGTGTTGAAAATGGGACTGCCGCAACACGCACCTACTTTTGTGTGTCAAACCACAACTCCTCTCCACATTCCAACAACAATTTTCCTTGTATTAAGATATGCACTTTTTCTAGGGAAAGAAAAATGACATTGCCAAAATAATGCAGTTCAACTTCTATACGTTATAAGTATATTGTTTAGTAGTTTATTAAAGAACAAAGCAAGGAGTGTATTTGACTATTTTGAAGTGCTTAATATAATATCAAATATCCAAAGTATTTTCATTTTTTTAGGGATCATTACATCCTTGTTTAAGATAAAAGACAAATATTAGGAGCATTTTATTATATCTAAATAGCTAGCTCATAACAAGATAAAGCAAACCTCGCAAGCGCATTCATCGCATGGTAACAAATGTGGTCTATATTGTTACTCACTGCTATTAAAATGACTCAAAAGAGGTCATATTAGACACTCTGATATATTAGGTTGTAAATATTTAATTTACTTATTGTATATTTAAGTATGATTTTATGAATTTCGTAGTCTTGCCTGGTAAAAAAACATATTACTCTTTGCAACACAAAACTAATGACTTTATTATAATTGTAGTTAAAGATCATGAAGATGTACATAGAGAATTTCGAAGGAGGAAAAATTATTTTTGATTTTTGACACTAATTACATAATTTTATGTCGATGCTAAATAAGCTCTGAAGTCCAACAAAAGTTAAGAAACTAAAGAGATAAATAAATAAATAAAATCATGGGATGGTTCATGACCAATTTCAGGTTCGTATTCCACATGCACATCATGAGTTCGATTCTAGTATTGGTGAATCACACAATGGTGGCCACGTGAAAGCTAAAATGCCTATGTGCATCTTCTTGATTCTTGAAAATATAGGACTGCCATGACGAAACCACCAACTAGTTATCTTTTAATGAAAAAACAGAAAGAGAGAAAAAAGAGGCCATTTATGAGAAGAAAAAAACTACATTTAAAAAAATAAAAAAATAAAAAAATAAAAGTCTCATAGCATATATAACATCATGCCGAGCATGATTCTCTTTATATGTAACAAGTATGCATCTTACCACAATAAACGTTTTTCATGTGTTGGATACATCATTTCAAACGCTGAGATTTGATTCGAATGTAGTAGTGATTGTTGATCGTTGAAACTTCTGCTAACATTCCCCATCATGTCAAACTTGGGTTTGACATGCCTTATCACCTAATTGCTCAACTATATATGCACTCATACTTTATTAGGAAAATTAATAAAAAGCCCTTCGCAAAACATTTTTTTATTTAAAAACTCTTAAACAACTCTTTTTATCATTAAGAGTACAATTTTTATTATTAAGTACATTTTCTTTTAATTCAAAAACTGATGAAGTGATTTCCTTTTTGTTTTCTTGTCTTTAAAATATAATTAATTTCTTTAATAATAAGTAAAATTGTCCAAGCATTTCTACTTAAACTATACTAGCATATGGGCACACACAAAGTGCCTATATATTTAATGGGAATATCACACTCCTATATTTAATGGGAAACAAAAAGGTTTCTACCTTGACATGATCTTGCCTCTAAATTTCACAAAGAGAAATGCTAAGGAGATTTTCAGAAGTGGATCTCTACATGGACTTTATATCATTTTATTTTTTGGCATAATGTTTTATAATATTGCGATGAAAATTGACGTTAAACTGTGAGATTATAAAGAGTCCATGGATAGTCCAACTTTGAGAAAATCTCTTTTGGAAGAATCTCCTTGACATTTCTCATTCAGAAAAAGAACTTATATACATTAAACAGGTACATAATCATGTGACGTTCAAATTTAATAATAAATTGGAACGTTATGATAACAGTAAACCTATGTAATGTAAGTTACTTCACGTATTTAGAGTTTTTATTTTTCTAATACTTTATTCATTTTCCTTCTTCCAAATGAAGCGTACCTAAGAAACTGAATGCCAAAAATCTCGTTTGGAAAAATACTTTGACTTTTTGACTAAAATAAACGTTGATTATACATTCAAAACTTGGAGTTGGATAAAGACTCGACATATACAGAGGACATCGCAAGGGGGCAGAGACAAATTGTACAGTAGCACGATTTAGCACACCAATTTTCCAATTTCAAAGCCTTGGTTCAAAATCCAGTGGTCAAAATGCAACACAAGACCCGCTCTCATGCAATTTTTGATAATATCAAAATCAATATATAATAAAATAATGGCGGCAACTGCATGCATGTCTGCTCCAAATTCTAACGGCTACCCTCGTTTCTCTCTGTTTCTACACCTTATGTGTTTTATTGTGTTCATATTTAATTACGTAGTGTCTCGTTGAGCAATATTCCATGGAGATTAATGGCAGACATTCCCCTGTCTAATTACGCCAAGAATATCATATGCATATATATATGTATGTATGTATGTATGTATGTATGTATGTAGTTGGTCCATCGTGAGGAAATTAAATGTGGCAGTCCGATTGATTGGTTCCTCTAGCTATTTAGCGTGCTTGAGTTTTGATAATCGTTTTCACAAATAAAACCCTAATTAAGTTGTTTTCCAAAACGAATATGTAATTTTTTCTGTCAAACCCAAACATTGTAATTAAATGTAAAATTAAGAGCTTGTTTGACTGTCTAAGGAATCCTAATCCGTGAAGCCCAAGGCTTGTAATGTATGTAATATCATGTAGAATCTCTAGCTACATGATATTACAGCGCAGTTGAAAATTACTAGAAATGAAGTCGAACAATTTATATCACACTCGAATTTAGGTGATTCCTAGTGCCTTGAAAACTAATTAACATCATTCTTAATTTTCGTTCGTCAGAACAAGTGAATTGAAAATGATAAAAAGATAGAAAGTAACATAGAATGTGTAGAAGGTAAAAATATGTGTATGGATAGTACCAGCCTTTCTTAAAATATATGAAAACAAACCAAAGTTAAAACCAAGACCATACAGTTTTACCAAGTAAACTAAACACTCGTGAGAGACAGCGAGCTGCAAGGGTAAAAGTATAAGTTGTGCAACGGCATATATGAATAATATGAGAGTGGCATGAGGCAATGAAGCAGGAAAGCGGGAGGAAAGAAGCAGAAAGATGATGAAGACCAGGTAAGCACTTTAGTTAAATAATAAATCACAATTCACACCCTCCTCTTTGAGAAATTTTTAGTTGTGATGAGAACACGGATAATACATTACATGTTTTTATGCAAGTAATGAAAAATTTTAATTTTTAAATTATTAACCTTTTAACCTACGTAACGTAATATTTATATAAAGATACGTGATGTGGTGTACCAACTCCTCTCTTCTCTTCTCCTCTTGGTTTCTTTTCTTTTATTTTTCGTCGAAACCGCGTTTTCAACTTTGAATAATAAATCAACACATTCAAAGTCTAACATTGATTCTAAGCTCAGCACACTCAGACCTCCCCCCCTTCTCTCTCTCTCTCTCTCTCTCTCTCTCTCTCTCTCTCTCTCTCCCTCTCCAACCAACCCCCAAGAGTCCCTTTTTTAGAGCTTTAAATTGAAGTTTTTTGTTTCTGGGTTCCCGTGCTCGTTTTCATTCATTTTCCAATTTTCCTACTCTTTCCGTTGGAAATTCAAATCTCATCTGATTTTTCCGTTTCTGGGTTTTTTCAAATTATCATCCAAAACCTTGAAGTTTCGATCTTTCTGGGGTTTTCTCCAATTTTATTTTCTTCCTTCTCAAGTTTTATTCATGCAGGATTTTGAAACGAGAAGAGGCGATCAGAATGGCTGTTAGGGGTTCAATCCTAGTGGTTCTCCTTGTAATCTTCTCCTCCACTTTAGCAGCGATTGCCGGACTTCACAGCCACGACAATCACAACCCAAATGCCTCCACTCTCGCCGGCATACAACTGCCGGAGCACATGAGCTTCAACGCCATCTCATCCTCCTCCTCATCCCACACTGGCTGCAGCCTCAGCAGCTCTAAAAGAACAAACCAATCAGATTCAGCCATGGAAGATGTTGGCGACTCTGACGACGACGAAGCCGCACCCGAATTGAACCCTCATAAACAAACTATGAAGCTCCATCTACGGCACAGATCACAGAACAAACAATCCGAAAGAAAAAGCTCCGTGATCGAGTCCACAGTCCGAGACCTCATCAGAATTCAAACCCTCCACACAAGAATCGTCGAGAAAAAGAACCAGAACACAATTTCAAGGCTGCAGAAAGACAAGAAGTCGAAGCCCTACGAATCAAATCCGGTTGTGGCCCCTGCAGCCTCACCGGAGTCTTACACCAACGAGCTTTCAGGGCAGCTTCAGGCCACGTTGAAGTCTGGTGTCAGCCTCGGCTCCGGCGAGTACTTCATGGATGTTTTCATCGGTACACCCCCTAAACACTTCTCTTTAATTCTCGACACTGGCAGTGACCTTAACTGGGTCCAATGCGCGCCGTGCCACGACTGTTTCGAGCAGCAGGGCCCGCATTACGACCCGAAAGACTCAACTTCTTTTCTTGACATTAGCTGCAAGGATCCGCGGTGTCGATTGGTTTCGTCCCCGGATCCTGCACAGCCCTGCAAGTCCGAAAATCAAACGTGCCCGTATTTCTACTGGTACGGAGACAGCTCCAACACTACCGGCGATTTCTCCCTCGAAACCTTTACTGTGAACCTCACGTCACCGAACAAGGCGGGGTTCAAGAGGGTGGAGAATGTGATGTTCGGATGCGGACATTGGAACAGAGGACTATTTCATGGGGCTGCAGGGTTGCTAGGGCTTGGCAGAGGCCCTCTTTCCTTTGCATCTCAGCTCCAATCGCTGTACGGACATTCGTTTTCCTACTGCCTTGTGGATCGAAACAGCGACGCGAATGTCAGCAGCAAGTTGATTTTCGGGGAGGACAAGAACCTCTTGAGCCACCCGAAACTGAGCTACACTTCCTTGGTGGGAGGGAAAGAAAACCCTGCTGATACATTCTACTATGTCGAGATAAAATCCGTCATGGTCGGCGGAGAAGCGGTGGACATACCGGCTGAGACTTGGAAATTGGCGCCGGAGGGTGCCGGCGGGACAATCATTGATTCCGGCACCACGTTGAGTTACTTTGCCGATCCTGCTTACCAAATGATCAAGGAGGCATTTGAGAAAAAGGTTAAAGGGTATCCAGTTGTGAACGACTTTCCAATTTTGAAACCTTGTTACAATGTGTCAGGTGTTGAGAAAATAGAGCTGCCGGAGTTCGCAATTGTATTTGCGGATGGAGCTGTGTGGGATTTCCCAGTAGAGAACTACTTCATCCAGATCGAACCGCAGGAAATGGTCTGCCTGGCGGTGTTGGGGACTCCAAAATCCAGCCTTTCGATCATCGGAAACTATCAGCAGCAGAATTTTCATATCCTCTATGACACAAAGAAGTCCAGGCTAGGATATGCACCCATGAAATGTGCTGATGTTTAGAAGCTGGAGAAAAATTGTACACATTTTTTTTCCTTCTTTTTTTGAGTTTTTCCTTCTGAAAAGGGTCAGAGGTGACATACAGAAATTAGATTAATTGTTTTTTCTTTCTTTTCATTTTTCATTTTTTTTGAAGTTTCAAGTGATTACATATTGATAGCCACAAAGGGTCATAATCTTTACTCAAAAAACAAGAAATATTAATGCTTTTTTTGCATATTTTTATACTGGTTATTGGTCTTGTTGCCTTCTGATGTGTTTATTTTAATTAAATGAATCATTCTTTGATGGTTTTAGACTAGAATTCTTTGCTTATTGTTGCCGATTTAGAAAATACGTTGTTGTAATCAGCTTAAATATTTCAAAATCTGTTGACTGTAATTTGATATGGAATCCTGAATGTTTCTTAGCCTTTTATTTTTCTATATTATTTTTGTTATCCCGAAGCCTAACACTATTTGGAATTACTATGACGTATTCCTGGTCAATTATTAGGTGTATGAAACTTTAATATATAGGTGTGTATAAGACAAAGAACGGGTCAACCGTTTGACAGTCACAGCTTCTATTGATTTCAACATCTGTATTTGGATCCCATTCAGATCCTTTTTGTGGAAATATGAATTCTCACATTTTATTCTTTCATTGTATATAGTATGGCAAAAAATTATGTTGATTTTTTTATTTAAAATTAAATACAAACAATACCTAATGATATATAGCCGCACTATGTACGATATTGAACGGAGATGATCCTTATCCACACAATTCAAAGGCCGTTCAGATTAGCCCCCTAAAGTTGCTCTGATAAAATATTTGTATATCAACACTCAATCAGTTTGGGCACCCTTTGGCAATTTTCTTATGGGATTATTCCGTCCTTGTCATGTTGTTCATCTGGCAAATCCTAGTGACATGCGAATCCCTTGTCATAGAATGACTTTCATCCAACTGAAATGTTATTTAGATGGTATTTTGATTCAATCACGCATTGTTATGTGTAAAAGTTCAAATACGTAACAGCAATGTGATTGACTTAAAGTAACGTTACAATAGCATGCGTGCATTTTCACGTAACAATTTGCGAGAATGCTTTAGAGTTATTTCTTGCTGTAGAAGAAATGAATGGCTTTTATCATAAGGGCTAATCAGCCTTGTTATGTAGAGAGATCGAGTGGCTTACCGGGGAAGACCATCAGAAACCAAAGCTGATCGTGTGCCCAATTCAGTTCATTTTCCTTCATTCATCTACACATTTAATGCTAAGTCATAGTTTTGTTGTTTAGGAGCTTGCAAGAAACAAATTTGATATGCCTTCTCCTTTCTCTCAAAACTATCTGACTAGTATTAGTGGCTCCATCGCTGGCGGCGGGGCTAGCTTTTGTTAGCCTCTCGTTGTATTGGTGTTATCTTCAACTTAATTGTTTGAAAAGTGTGACAAGTCTAACCTTGGATGAGGAACAAGCAATTGGGATGTGATCCTAAATACTGGAATTGGATCCCATCTGGATCCACTTTGTGAGGATCTTAGGGATCCCCACATCTTAATCATTAATCGTGTATCATACGATCAGGAATCATTTGACTTTTTTATTTAAAATTAAACACAAATAGTATCTGACGAAAACTGGCCGCACGATATACAATGAACGACTAAGATGTGGAGATCCTTAGGATCCCCACAAAGTGGATCCGAAAAGGATCCTCTTCCCTGAATACTAATGAAAAAATGTTATGCTTCAAGGCTTCAAGCAAATGAACTCTCTTCCAAATGAATTGATTTGATGACTGAAGTGTTTCAATCAATCTGATTAAGTTGATACATAATAGGCCAGAGGATTGGATCCTTTTTGTGAGAATCCTTCAATCACAGTCATTCATCTTACATCGTGCGGTCATAAATCATTGTAAATTTTTTTATTTAAAATTGAATATAAACAATATTTGACAAAAATTAGCCGCACAATATATGATGAATGGATATGATTAGAGGATTCCCGAAATCCTTACAAAGAGGATCCAGCGAGGATCCTCTCTCCATAATAGGTGTCCAATCTCTTAATAAATTGGGCATTAGGAATTTGAACTTTCTCACTATCATTTAATAATAAGTTGGACTTGGGCATGTGGAATGGGAATTGAGGCTTGGGCCTTGTGTGGATCACGCTTGTGCTAATTAATATTAATTAATCAAGGCCTTGTGTGGATTAGGCTTGTGTTAATTAAATCTTAATATTAATTTACTATTAATTAAAGGAAGTGTTATTGGCACTCTAAAAATCTCATTCTACACTCCTCACAAATGTATTTTTCTTTCTAAATATAGAAAATTTGGATTGTAGAATGAGAAATTTGGAGTGCCAATAACAATTTCCTTAATTAATCAAGGCCTCTAATATTAACTTAATAGGATAGGATCAAGGGACAAATATTTTTACACTTCTTTTCAACCTTTAGATTTTATATCATTCAATGGTCCTAATTAAAAGTGATGTGGAGGATTTGAATCAATAAATAACATGAATGATGACATGAATTATAAACCATCATAAATAATTAAAATCTACAAAACGTGGGAGGGAGGGATGAAGAACTCCAATGATTTCGTGATTGCCCAGAACAACCAAATTTGGTAGGTCTTCTTGACAATTTGACCAAAAGAAATAAAGAGTAATAATTACAACCCAAAGAACCATCCAAATTTTAAGATATCAAAGTTTTGCCACAACCCAATTCTCACCAAAGATACTAAGACTAGGGTTTAGTTTTGTTTATTTAACAAAAGATTCAAGAGATCGAGTGATAGTTTGATATGCTTTGTGTGCTCCGGAATATTGTACAAATCGAATTAAAGTACCTTGTAATGAAGGCATTGTAAACTTGTTTATCATGACATTGGAATTAGGGTTTTGATGAACAAGTTTTATCCATAGTAATTTTTGGACGGTGCTCTTGCAATTCAAGAGTTAAAACCATAAGCACTTCAATAATTAAATTCTACTCTTACGTTTTCTTAAAAAAAATCTATTGGTTTCATTGCGCATATATATATTAATCAAATATAATCTACATACGGCATAGAGGGTTTCAGAAAAATGGAGATTGAAATATTCATTTACACAAATATCTTGTAATATTCCACCAAAAATCCACCTAGGGCCGGCCCACTTCCTCATTTTCTCCTATAAATACACCATTTATCTCCAAAATTTAGGAGACATTTTGCTACCCACAAAAACTCAAACACATTCTTTCTAGAATTCTAACTTTGGCATTGGAGATTTTTCGGCCAAAGCCCCTCTATTCATCGTGGGCTCATGAGGCTTTTGGCCTTAATCTTAGATGTTATTATTTTGCAGGTGCATTTTTGTCAAAGGAAGAGACGACGGAAATTTGTATCCACAAATTTGTGCTTTCATTAAGAACTCTAATTTGAAGACTTGAAGAAGACTCTCGCTTTCAACTTTCTTCATTCATAGATCCACGACTATGATGGCAGGAAATTCAAAAACTACAACCAATGGGACCCCTTATGTTGAAGGACATGGATTAACTGATGTAGATCGTGACATGGCTCCACGCCGTTGCTCTGCGAGGCTTACCACGGAAAAGATCGTTCATTTGCCACCACGAAGTATTGTGGCCATGCCAGTAGTGGCAACCATCACTGTAGTGGCCCACGAGGCAACTTCTACTCATCGCAAGAAAACCCTAGGGCAGGAGGCTCACGGCTTAATCAGCTAACAGGTATAGAACCAAGCAATTACTCGCCCTCGACAGCAGCCCTTGGTGCCTACCACCTTCACTTGGACGCGAGCTGCTCATATCGAGGCAGTCTAAGTAGTGTCAACCACGACGCAAGTGGCAACTCAACGCAAGCCCAACGCGTCTCCAACTCGAGGCCAAGCAAGACAAACCGAGGCGGCCTAGCGGCCATATGTCTGACTTGTTCTTGTAGCCCTTTAGACGGTCCAGCATGGTCCTAGACCAATTCAACCAGCCCAGATCCAGATTCCAAGGCTAACGGTTGAACCAAGGGTATTTTCACCCCACCTTACTGCAAATCTGACCCATCCTAGCTCAAGCTTTGCACTCGGAGTCCATTACACTTCCACTACTCAAGTAGATGTCTACCATACTAGTTTTCCACTTTAAGTGGTGAACAACACCTATCCCGACAGATAGTCAAATTGATAAGCACCTTTGCGCATCAGACTACCTTGGTAAATCAGCTCATGCAGCATGCCCCAGACGAAGTGTCCTAAAATAGGACAAGGGCAGAAAATGACGTTTCTTTCCAGCACCGTCCCGGCAAGCAGCCCATCGACCAACCACGAACGGAACGTTCTGGTAATGTACATTTTCGTCTTAGCACGGGGAAGAAAATGCACTCTTGGTTAGGCCCTAGACGAGCATACATTCACGGTTGGGGCCACACTTCGAAAAACATGGACAATCTTCCAAGCAAATCGTTCATTTGCAGCTAGGCCCACAAAGAGCACATTCATCCTCACATTGGGAGTAGGCAGCATGATGGACGGAGAGAAGCAATCGTTCAATCTAGCTCAAGTTCAACCGGTAATCTATGAGTAATTTGTTTGCTTACCAGGAATGTTCCACGTGCACCGCATCCGCGACATAGACTGACTGAACATAAGGAAGAGCAGCCGAGACCAGCAGGTCATGACCGAGGATATTCGAACGCCCCGCTGCCCTGGCAGAGGCAAATTCAGGAAGAAGTAAAGAGGCTCTTGACCAAACGATTGTGCAGATTCCAGTGCATCGAAACCACAGACGAGGCCTTTCGCATAGACGTGGTACACATGAGATGATCATTTTTTACGGACAAGATCAAGGAGACGGAGACCTGGAAAGGCACTTGAAGCATTATCGTAGTGAGATGATCCTCTACAGGGCTAACAACTCTTTAATGTGTAAGATATTTGCTACAACTTTGCAAGGCGAAGCGCTTGATTGGTTTTATACCCTGCCTTTACAGTTCATCCAGAGTTTCGACAAGCTTTCTGTAGTTTTCACTAATGAATACTCATCACACCTTTCGATCAAGAAGAAGTCTGATCATATCTTTAACATCACGAAAAATTTGAATGAGTCGCTCCGCGACTATATGAAAATGTTCAAGGCGGAGAAAGCGAAAATAATCGGTTGTAACGACTCAACTGCCAACGCAACCTTTCAAAAAGGACTCCCAATAGATT